CATGAAGAACATTATTATTCTGTTTATTAAAGAAAATAAAACAAATCTTTTAAGAAAGGATTTTTTTCTTTTAAAAACCAAAGTCAAAGACAAATGTTTATTTCACCTTTGGGGAACCCTTACACTCCTCTCTCAAGTCTTCTTGCACTCTCTCTCAAATCTTTATGAGACTAATTTATCTTCATAGCACTACATTGTTTTTTGAGGGTATGATTCTGTTTCTGTGTAAACATAGGATCAGAGAATGTTTTTAACTCATCTTTCCTTTTGTGTGTATTCCAAGCTTTTTAAAGGTAGCACGACCCCTACTGGTCATGACCTAATCACCTGTTCCCCCATGTGTGTCCTCTTGAATGGGTGTTCTTAAATGCAATTTCATTGAGCAAACAATGACAATAAAGGCTTTCATCATCATCATCATCATCATCATCATCATCAAACCCACTACTCGTGTTCTGCTTCAATGGGAGCAGAAAAAGAAAGGCAAGCACAAAATAAGCAACTCACATTCAAAAATAAGCCCAAAAAACCACGACTCGCGGAAGTTACAAGCGACTTTAGAAAAAAAAGAATCCCAACGTTGCTTATAATAAGCGGACCTGGCAACACTGGGTCCAACATTAAACTCTATTTCTGATGACTTTAAAACACTTCTGTAAATTTACACATTTTTATTTCTCTCTTCATTTAATCTTTGACTTCTATTTTGTAAAGCAAATAGAAAAGATCACAAAAACATTCTGTTTGCAGCTGCAACACAAATCTCTAAATATTTCATAAACAAGAATCATTCATTTTTAAACCTTTACAACAGATTTTCTTAAAATTTCATAATAAAGATCTGTTCAAATGTCACATCAATAACTTTAACAGTTGCTCATATAAAAGTCAAAATATCTGCAAAATTATATAGGTTTAATCACAAGAATATGTTTTGCTCAACTATTTTAATACATTTATTTCCATATTTATTATTAATTGTAGGGCTTTTGGGTATATCCTAAAATGGATAATCTGTGAATTATTTAAATATGCAAATTATCTTAACTCGAGGCACCACGTTCTTAATTTGGTCAAAAATTAACCCGGGAAAGAGACGAAAACCTGTAACTTTATTGTAATCAGTCTCACAATAAATGTACCCAAAGTCGTTTGATGAGTRCTTGTCCTTATCAGAACCAATAATACTTTATCAAGACACAAAAGTGACATTAGCTTATGTTGGCACATTCTCCACGGGGCATTTATTTACAGATTAAATGTATTTACAACTATGGTGAATAAGAAGTGATGACATGTTGAACCAGGTAAAACTGAAAGAGTTTCAATCACAAGTGAATAAACAAACAAACAAACAAATTAAATAAACACTGAGAGGTGAGTTTGAGGCTTGGAATGAGGTGAGTTTTGCTTTTAGCTGAGGATTTAACTAAGGGGGTCCTAGTTAAATTAGGGAGAAAAATCGTTTAGTTTACCAAGTCCCATACAAAGATAAGAATCAAATTACGTCTGAGCACCTGTGTGTCACCAGTGCTAATGTTCACTTTTACCCTTTTGRTCCGCCGTGTGGGTACCAGGAGGGGAAGTCAGCGATTGAAGGTCATCTCTGGGGGTCGTTTCCCAGGTAGGCTCTTCATGCAAGCTGGATGTCAGGCGGTCTGCCTGTAAAACTCGACTGGTCCCGTGGTCAGGGAAGTGGGTCACTCCCTGGTGACAACATGGTCCGGTCC